ATTTTTGAATTATTGTTACTTATTCTTTACACACAAAAAAATCTACTCTCAGTTGAAAGTTCACAAAGATATATATTTATTTTATCTCCATTCAATTTCTTACAGATCGTTCCAAAATTCAAAGCAGCTATAATCAAATTCGACATCGCTTACCCTTATGGCAAAAAGCAGGAGGAGTACACCAAGCTGTCAGCCGCAGGGAGAGGCTCAGTAGATCTCCTGGTCGCAGAAGTGGGAGTGAAAGATTATGGAGACATGGAAAATATGGACCTAGCAGAGAGATTTGGCGTTAAGAAGGACGATTTCCCCGTGGTGAAGCTGTTTCTGAGTGGCCATGAGGACCCTATTGATTTTGATGGGGATTTCACCGATGAGGAGTTGAAGAAGTTCATCCGGCGTCACTCCGAGGTCTACATCGGGCTGCAGGGTTGCCTAGAAATCTTTGATCGCATTGCCGACAAGTTCATTGCCACAGAGAACCTGAATGAGAGGAAGGGTCTCCTCAGAGAAGCAGAGGATGAGTGGGACAAAATCAAGAGCCAGTCTGACCAGAAGATTGCAGAAACGTATGTCAAGATTATGCGACGGGTGGTGGAGAAAGGGAGCGACTTCATAGACCTTGAGAAGACGAGGGTCAGAGGAGTAATGGCAGGACAGATTACTAAAGAAAAGAGGGATGAGATGGAAGGGAGGTTAAATATTCTTAAGTCATTTGCACATGATGAATTGTGAGTGACTAAAGGCTAAGTTATTAAATTATTTATCTCATGTCACTCGAGTGTCCCTTTATAATTTTCTCAAGGCAAAAGGGATTCTCAGTTGTGTTTGATACCAAATATTAAAACTTTTGAAGGAGTTCGGGTAATGGTTGTGAGAGGCTAATATTGCATGACATAATTGCAGAAACAATCAGCTTTTATCAGGTTTTTCTTTTGAGGCAAGAACTGCAGTGTATGAGTCATTTATATTAATTCAGGAAGTAAAAAGGGAATGAATGTTTATTTTTTTGGTATAATGTATCCACCTGAAATTGATGATAATTACAATTTTTCAGGTTGAGAGTATGGCTTTTGTGAAGTTATGTCAGCATATTGAATAGGCAGCATAAAGATATTAAATTATTTTATAATGTCATGTTATCATGTTTCAGCACTGTTTAATTGTTGTTACTTCTCACTTATTTATGTATTATTGGTAATTATCCAGAATAGAATTTCGCACACACAATGGGGAAAATTTATGTAATGGTCATAAAGAGCACAACATTTTTATGAAAAATAATCTGCACGGTGTAAGGTAAGCACAAAATCACTCCTCCAAGTCTAGATGTATTCATCATGTGATGCTGTGGTCTCTGCACTTCACTCTCCAGCGGTGATCAAACCTCCTCCTTGTATACTCTGGCAAGGTAGAGCTTCAGAGCTTCTTTAGTGATTTATCATCAATTAAGGAGCTGATCAAAGTTCAATCTTGGGAGAAAATGTGGTGAAGGTTATATTTGACATTTCCTGTAGTATGTAGTGTGGAAGCCATTGCATAGCATTATGGTTTCCTATACTGGGTAATTACCCTATTATTGCTATACTTTCAACTTGTTTACTAAAGTACTATGCATTTAAGTGGGATTGAGAGCATTTCAAGTGGTTTTCGTACCAGCTATTCAATTTGGTAAGCTTTGCTTCTCATTTCAACACTGGAGAGGTACAAATTTTGTAAATCAAAGGAAATTCCAAATTTTAAACCAAGTGTGGGCTTATAGTTGTACTGCTTTAGATGAGACAAATAAAAGATACATTACTCTGCTTAAGATGACTAATAGTTAATGCAATAGATTTATTGGCTGGTAATGACATTGAACTGAAGTAAAACAGGGAAAAATGATAGCGTTCAGTGACGTGCAACTCACTGATCACTAATGGTGCTCATGACTTTCATAAATAAGTGAAGTTTGAAAGTGGATGGTGTAGATGCTATAACAAAGGTCAGTATGTAAATCTTGTATATGTGAAGATAAGTTTGTGTGCCCACAACATAGCAGCATTTTTATCATTTTTAAACTTAATCATTCAAAAGTTTTACATTTTGTCATCTGTATTGTTATTCACAAATGCATTTCACTCTGTTCAAACAAGTACAATGGGATCACAGACCACTTAATGTTGTTGTATTACAATTGGCTGAGGGATCAATTGCTAGGCAAGTCGAGTGTAGAATATTGATCAGCAGTAATTTCAGTAAAAGGTTAAGGGAACAGGAACAGCTGGACGTCTCAGCTGTATAATTCATACCTGAAAAGAAAACGGCAGCTTTACTGAAAATTTTGTCTGAATAATATCCTGTAGCCTAGTCACATTAGCATTGACCAATGTTTTAGCTTTGTGCATATATATCAAAAGCTTCCATTCCCTTGTTTGTTTAATTGCAGAATCTCTACCAGCATAATATGGTAACCGCATTTATTTTGTTATGGATTTAAATGTTTAGATAGGTAACATTATTCACATACATGATATGCAAATGATACACATTTTCCAGGTCAAGCCAACCAACTTCGGTGCTGAATTAAGAATGGCTCTTGTGAACGTTCAGTTGTGGAAATGGTTTCCTGTACCTTTGTAGATTTTTTCCATTTGTATTCTTATGAATGGTGCTTGTTATGAGTAGGTGGATAAATTTATCAAAAAGGCAGTACATCAACATGAAATTCAGCTCTGCCAAAGTTCTTCACCATTCAGACTTGGCTGGTCAAAGAGGGTGCAGGAAATTCGGTTCTGCAACAGTACCTAGAAGACTGAATTCTTTTATTTCCCTGTTGTCACTCTGTACTGTAGTCAATACTGCAGATCTTTATCAGAATGTATGCTTTCTAAAGGAGGAATGGGCATTGTAAAATGACTTAGGCAAGGCTAAGGGAAATGTGCATTAAAAGTCTATCTCTGTACTTAGAGTAGAATTCTCGAATTAATTAAAGTTGGTTTGAAGTGTGACCAATTTAGAAAGATAGGTGTTAGTAAATAGTAGAGAGGCAATATCTGTTAGTATATAGGAGAGAAGAAATATTTCAGAGGAATTAGTAAAGACAGACATCATGATATAATGCACAATAGTCGAGAACACAAGTAGTTTATGCTTTACAGCAAATCATTGTCATTAGGAAGTATAGCACTGAGATATCATATTTATATCAGATAACTTTAATTGCTTTTAATACTAGTTCACAGATGGTTTTGTTATATTTTATAAATAATTCTGTCAAGAGAAGTTGTTTTCCTGAATACCTTTTTTTAATGAATCAATAGAACCAAGAGAATCTGGACATAGAAGCTAACAGAAGGTTGAATATATATATATATCTTCTTGTTGGTGAAACATTAATAGTCATTTGTAAAGGTTGGATATTAGAGGAGAGTAATGTTTTCTGAGAATAAAATTATTGAATTAAACGGTTACAACTTTGGAAATTATTGAGAGAATACAAGAGAACTGCAGAGAGGTATAGAAAATGTTTCTCATGGTTTGCCAGAATGTGTTTTTGATAAAACCTTCATAATTTTCTCTGTCTTAAGAGGATATTTCAGGTCACTTATAGCTCATGTAAGAATTTCAACAACCTGATCAAAGACTTGCCTTTAATAAATAATATGGATTTTATAGAAAGGAAATACATTGTATGGTGGCTGTCCTTTAATTTCTTTTTATATATATTGCTATAATTTAGCATCCATAACAGATGTTAAGGCAAACCTCATTACTTATGCACATGTGATCATGTAAATTGAATTGCCTAAATGCACGTAGTTCATTAACCACAGGTGCTTTGTAAAATTAATTTCTCAATCTTAAAAGGATGGTGGCTTTAGGCATTTCCCACTAGATTTTAGAAATTGGTTTTAACAGTAGATGGCAAAAATCTAAAATGTAACTTCTTTTTGGTTCTGTAATGCTGGAGAGACAATTTCTTTTAGTTTACTACTAAAATTTAACATTCAAGCCGACTCTTAACATATGCAAAAGTACATATGAATTATGCATGTATACACGTGATTATGAACCTCGTTAGGACATAGCTATAATATGCAGCATAAACAAGATATAAATGTATAAAAAAAATCATTTCTTTATTTTTTACACAGTACAAAGGTGGTGACAAAATCATAAAATCAAAAGCATACTTAAATTAAAAATAATAATGAAAAAAAATATTAATGTTAATAGCAACAATAAGTAAAAGATACCTCTGCTGTGTTACCTGTTTAACCAAGACAGATTCACTGAAGGGACTCGTTCACCACCTAAATTATCTACGACATTTACCATAAAGTTTCTGTTCATCAAAATCAATCACACACTTATGTAGCAAATATCAAAGAGAGAGCATCACACACAAAAAAATAAAATTGAGACCATGCAATGTTCCAAATATGGAAATAACTAGATAAATATCTAGCATGAATGTATTTCAGTACAAACAAACGTTTTATATAGGACATATTTATTCCAGTAACAATAACATCACAGGACTCGGGGCTGGAAAAAGAAATATTTGGCATCGAAACTTATTAGAGGAGAATTACAGTGCTCTTTAAAATTTCCAATTAATCTACACAATTCCATAAAAAAATAGAGAAAAAAAGGAAAAAGAAAGAAAGAAAAAAAAGCATAGCATATTTGGTCTCTCTAACTGACTAGGGTACCAGATACTTGTATGTATGACTTTATATAGATGAACTTTATGGAAAGAAAAACATATGGAACTCTACAAGTAATAGATGGGAAAGACTTGATGAGTTACACATATATACAGTATGTGCATAAACTGCCAGACTCAATGTGTATATGTGTGTTTGTTCATATATGTTAGCAGTATTTAAATGCAAGTTTAACAGTATTTACATGTAACATGTGTTTGTATATGTATAAATGTGTGTAACAATCTGGCTCCTATGATGCAGTCATCAATAGTGATCCTTATTGCTAGAAGTGACTGAACTCTAGGCCCTCAAATCAAATTACTATCAGATATCACACCACTCTCAAACTTGCCCTTAAATCAACTTGCTCTCTAATTTCTCTCCACTCTCAACTTTTCACTTTTTTTTTTTTGAAATGGGCAAAAACAAATCAGTGTGTATCAACTTGCATTAAGAGATACTCACTTACATTGACAGTTCTACCAGTTATAGTAGTATTACAAGAGTGGCATCTGAGTCTGTCTGTAAACACCCATATACAAATCCCCAATTTACCGACACTCACTCATTACACTATATCTACATCCATACAGACATGAATGCTGACCCCATGTATAGACATTATTATCAGGATTCTGACCTGGCAAGTATAAAAGTACAAGATGCTCCTAAGAGAACTCTGAACACCACATTTAAGAGAGACTGCATGACACTTATAAAACTCTTATAAAGAGTCCATGAATTTGTCTTTACACCAAAGGTAATTCACTTGCTTAGGAGAAACGGGCATTATTGAATAAAACCTTTGTATAGCACCACTTTTTTATCTGAAGATGATTAAGAGCGATTACAATAATCATATTACTGACATTCAGTGGACATTTTCCAATCAGTGAGAAAGAAAACAATGACACAATTAAATAAAAAAACAACAACTAAATAAGCAAATTCCACTGACCTACAATATGTAAAAAATCTCACTAAACATTAATATTCCCAGTAACACAAAAGCCTAAACTGATTTGGTTGTATTGAAATAACTAAGAGCAACACAAAATTGACATAATAATGACTTTTCTTTCCATTTACAAGGATGAACTAATCCCATAAAAACCTTTGGATACATAAATGTGTATATACATTATATCAATCTCTACGAACTAATGATAAAAGTGATATGAAATGAACGGTCTCAAAAGTTCTATCTCTACTTCTACCGGCATCCATGCACACGAGAAAAACAGACACTAACTTCTAATTCAAGAAATGCCAAGTCTCTAATTCTGGATTTGACAAACAAGTACGTCTTCAGATCTATAAATTCCGAGATATTTTTCTTTTTAACACTCCCTCGATATTTATCTTTTATTTAAGATTTTAACATTCTATTTCTTAATTTCTAATAGAGTGTCACTTGCTTTTCACAAGAAGGAAAAATGTTTTTTTAATAAACATTTTCATAATTTTCTTCCAGTTGAATATTTTACTGTTAAAAAGGAAAAAAAAAAAAAGGAAGAAGAAAAACACCACAGCAATTCAGTTTGAAGTACACCCTAGAATTATGGTGCGAGAGTCCATAATATTGCCTTCCAAAAACAGCACTGCAATTCAGTTTAAATTACACCTAAAAGTATGGTAACAAGAGTCCACAATATTGTCTTCCGTTCAATTTTTGTAAGTCATCAATATGAAACAAATACATATCTCAACAGCATGGTATTAATGTAAGCATTTTACTCAGTGTAAAATAGAGTGAGAATAACTCACTACACACAATCTCCAGCACCTTGTCATACAAACATCATCCTTTTATCCTATCTAAAGTTTGTATAAATTACCCTAAGTTTAACACTGTATCAAAATATAACAACTCTCTAAGGAGAAGTAAAAATAACCACTGTTTACCTAGGAGTTTAAAGTCACTCCTCCTCCTCCCCTTCTGCGTTCTCGTCTAGACTAACTTCCTCTCTGTCGTCCCCTGGTAAGGAATTTCCCTTTGTGCTATTTGTTTTTATGAGGTTATTTTTACTGCTTGGTTTACACTCGAGTTCTGCCTCGTCCAGGTCCTCTTCATGCGTGTTCTCGGACTGTTCTTCGTTGTGCTGGTCATCGTCTGGCTGTTTCTCCGCTTCCTCCTTCTTCTTGCGAATCTTCTCTGCCAGGAATTTAAAGCGTAGCATGCATTCCTCCTACGGGCCAGAGCACAACATTAAGACTGGGATCTAAGCAGTTAAAGTGATGGAACTTCTTATTAGATTCTGTTTTTGCCACATACTCAACTTCTTAGTAATCTTCATTTTATCATTCACTTTCATCTTACTGAACAGGTTTTGCATTATTAGTGTTTTGGTGCTCAATGACCTTACAATGTCCATCAGATTTCAAAGCAAGCGAGTCAATGGAACGAGAAACAAACATTGTTTACAAGGTACTGCTAAAAAGATGTGCAGAATCAGAACTCAAGCCTACACTGTGCATCAGAATCAGCCAAAAAATAAGACCCAAAGAGCACTAAAATAACTGAATGAATGAATGCATAAAAAAGAAAAAGAAAAAGAGAGAAAAAAAAAAAACCTATGATACTGCTGCCATTACCTTAGTTTTCTCAGGAACAGCTTTTGCAATTCTGTCCCATCTTTGATCAGTGCCCTTTGGAAACTGTTTCAGCGCCTTCTCGAGGGCTTTCTGCTGGACTGTGTTCCAAGCCTCATCGCTGCCGCCAGCCAAGTCTGTTTTCTCTGCCCTTGTTTTCACTTTCACCTGGTAACAAGAGTAGAGAAATCATACCTTGAATACAAGTGATAACAACTGGCTTAAGTATAATGAGATAAGAATTATACACACAAAAATAACAAACAATATAATCACCGATAGCAAAGATGCAGATGACAATCCTAATATTAATATCACCATCAATTCAATCAATACTTTCACAACTAATAACAATAACCATAATATCTCAAAAATAATATTACACCACCAACCCACATCTACTCAGTGACCTTACCTTAACCTCACTCATAGATTCTTCGTATTTCATATCTGAGAACCTCTGGGCAAGGCGGGCTTTCACCTTCTCGGACATCTTGGTGACCTCATAGACCGTGCGACCCATTGTCTCTGCAATGCGCTCCCATCTGTCTACAGTCCCGCCTGGATATCTTTTTATTTTGAAAAGAGAGAATGATATAAATAATATTATATAATTTATTATTTATTATTATATAAACTTTTTCCCTAATTGATTTTGATGAATAATAATTGTATTAACAGTAAGATGAAAGAAGATGAAGAAGGAAGTGTAATGAAAAAAGATGTATCAAGAGAAAGTGGAATGCAAATAACTGAACAAAACTCATTAAAGTACATGTGATGAGGTCATTTCACAGACACACAGACACACAGACACACAGACACACAGACACACAGACACACAGACACACAGACACACAGACACACAGACACACAGACACACAGACACACAGACACACAGACACACAGACACACAGACACACAGACACACAGACACACAGACACACAGACACACAGACACACAGACACACAGACACACAGACACACAGACACACAGACACACAGACACACAGACACACAGACACACAGACACACAGACACACAGACACACAGACACACAGACACACAGACACACAGACACACAGACACACAGACACACAGACACACAGACACACAGACACACAGACACACAGACACACAGACACACAGACACACAGACACACAGACACACAGACACACAGACACACAGACACACAGACACACAGACACACAGACACACAGACACACAGACACACAGACACACAGACACACAGACACACAGACACACAGACACACAGACACACAGACACACAGACACACAGACACACAGACACACAGACACACAGACACACAGACACACAGACACACAGACACACAGACACACAGACACACAGACACACAGACACACAGACACACAGACACACAGACACACAGACACACAGACACACAGACACACAGACACACAGACACACAGACACACAGACACACAGACACACAGACACACAGACACACAGACACACAGACACACAGACACACAGACACACAGACACACAGACACACAGACACACAGACACACAGACACACAGACACACAGACACACAGACACACAGACACACAGACACACAGACACACAGACACACAGACACACAGACACACAGACACACAGACACACAGACACACAGACACACAGACACACAGACACACAGACACACAGACACACAGACACACAGACACACAGACACACAGACACACAGACACACAGACACACAGACACACAGACACACAGACACACAGACACACAGACACACAGACACACAGACACACAGACACACAGACACACAGACACACAGACACACAGACACACAGACACACAGACACACAGACACACAGACACACAGACACACAGACACACAGACACACAGACACACAGACACACAGACACACAGACACACAGACACACAGACACACAGACACACAGACACACAGACACACAGACACACAGACACACAGACACACAGACACACAGACACACAGACACACAGACACACAGACACACAGACACACAGACACACAGACACACAGACACACAGACACACAGACACACAGACACACAGACACACAGACACACAGACACACAGACACACAGACACACAGACACACAGACACACAGACACACAGACACACAGACACACAGACACACAGACACACAGACACACAGACACACAGACACACAGACACACAGACACACAGACACACAGACACACAGACACACAGACACACAGACACACAGACACACAGACACACAGACACACAGACACACAGACACACAGACACACAGACACACAGACACACAGACACACAGACACACAGACACACAGACACACAGACACACAGACACACAGACACACAGACACACAGACACACAGACACACAGACACACAGACACACAGACACACAGACACACAGACACACAGACACACAGACACACAGACACACAGACACACAGACACACAGACACACACACACACAGACACACAGACACACAAAGTCAATAGATATCCTTCCCATACCTAAGTTTAATTTTTTTTTTTTTTTTGCATGTTTCCACTATATTTCATACATTAAGAATGTGTAAAGAACACAAAAAATAATTATGTATATAAAATCTTACATAATCCCTGGTACATCATGCTTCTTGGAGAGAGAGAGAGAGAGGGGAAAGAAAAAAAGAGAAAAGAGAAAAGAAAAAAGAAAAAAGAAAAAAGAAAGAAAGAATGAAAGAAAAAAAAACCTTTTTTTTTTACATACTTGGCCATGAGTCGCGCAAGTTCGGAGAATTCCTCATCCGTCCAGGGGCCTCCTGTGATTACAGGAATGGAGGACGGTTCTGGTCTGGGCTTTCGGAGAACCTGCATAAAATTTTAGCTATGAGCATCCTTTCCATAAAGTCTGCACAAAGTACGGTAAAATGGGACATACACTGAAAGATTGAAGGAAATTGAACCAAATACGAGTTCTGTTCATGGTGCTGTATATTTTCTTCAGGGTTAGATGTGTGTGGTTAAGACCTGTTTAGTGCTGTGCTTGTGTGATTGCAAAAGTACTTCCATATTGAATGGTGTATATGTACCAATGTTTATTGACTAATGTATTACTAGCCTTCCTACTCAAAAAGAATTTCTAATGGATCTTATAACTACAGGGAAAAAAGAGAAAAAAAGGCTATTTCATGAATATAGAAAAAGAAATAAGAAAAAGAAGAGAAAGAGAAAGAGGGAAAAAAAAGACAATAACAAATGAACATACAACAGGACTATAACAAAAATTTTCCATCAACAATCACAATACAAAACTCTTTTGAAATTAAATGATCTACAAGGTAGTCTGCTTACCCTATCCTCGGAGTCGGGACCGTCCACTGCCTCCAGGATGCACTCTCCCCCAGAGTATTCAGGATATTGATTCACCCTCTTGCGCGCCTCCTTTCTGCTGGCCTTCTTCTCTTTACGTTTTTCTTCCTTTTGGGTAAATGAAAAGGTAACAATAACAATAATAACAAAATAATAATAATTAATAATTAATAACATTAACCCATTGCCGCCGGGGATGGCATGTACGTACATGCCATGCCCACTGCGAGTCGAATTGTTTGATTGTTTTTACACATAGATGGCTTCACTTGTACTAAGTATCCAATGAGCCAATTACAGTACTGCCTGTCTCGCCCGTTCACCCTTTTCATTGATTTACGAAAATATTTAACATTATCCTAATTTGCTGTTAAAAATAACACCATCTATATTTACAGCACTAGTAAAAATACGTTTTTTCCCACCAATTCAAGGAAAGGTGAAATCAGGACTAGCAGAGCCATCTATGGACAGAGATATTTCACAAAAATATAAAAAATGAGTACTGCCTTTCCGCCATTTTTTGTTCATTTTCCCCGGCGGCAATGGGTTAATAATAATAATAATAATTACTGACAAAAAAATAAATGATGACTGTCAATCATTAATAATAACAACAATAACAACAATAATAGTTATAATACCAAAAACAACAGCAACAAAAGCAATAACAACATTAACAAAAATTATTATAACAATATCAAAAATAATCATACTATTCCACTTGTCTTTAGCATTACTCACATTTTTCTTATCCTAATGCAGTTAATATTCAAGATCGGTATATGTGATAATATCACTGAAAAGACTACCTATCTAATGTAAAATAATTAAAGAGAAACAAAGAAAATTATAGAAATAAATTAAAAAGGGTAAAAATTACAACCTGAAAAAATAAAAAAAGGATAGAAGGAAGGAAGGAAGAATATAGGGAAGGATGCAAGGTTGTTTTTTTTTGTGAAAGAAGGAAGGATGAAAAGAACAAGGAGAAAAGAAAAGAAAAGAAAAGAAAAGAAAAGAAAAGAAACAAAAAAAAATTATTGATGGATAAATGTACTACACATCAAAGGTCTTATACCACTATGGTACAGTATTATGAAAATGAGTTGACAATCAGGATAAGAGGTGTTAGATAGGTTAAAGGTACAGGGCAATCAGGTCAAATGGAGAGTATGTGTCTGAGGAAGGGAGAGGGACACTGTATGAGGAAGACTGCAAAAGAGCTATTATGAAACAATCAGGGGGTAATACTGTAAGAAGTGATAGTTGAAGAAGTAGGAGAAAAATCCAGAGAATGAAATAAGGGAACAGGGAAAGGTGGTGAAGTATCAGGAAGAATGTCAGGAGGGGAGGGATCCAGAGAAGGACATTGTTCTGACATAAGGGAGTCACATGAGCATCTAGGTGGGAGTGCTAAGGATAATGAGGAGGGAAGAGGGAATGGTGATGTACATGGAGGAGGAGAGGATGGGATGTGTTTTGAGTGAGTGGGAGGAAGAGGGGTAGGGGGGGGGAACTTGAGGAGGAGGAAGATGGATATCAGCAAATACTTTGAATGTAAATTTAATAGGAATAGAGGGATTAGAGGGTGGATGAGGTGGTGGAGCATTCTCTTGGGTCATGTTTAGGAACTTTTGGATGCCTTCACGAGTTTCTGGAGGGGAGCTGGGTGGGGAGGTCTGAGAAACAGAGGCTTTTTTTGTGTGGAGAAGAGGGAATAGATATCCAGGAAGCAGAGATGGGTGCAGGAGAGGATGTCATAAGAGAAGATGGAGTAGAACATTTAGGTAGAGTGAGAAGGAGGAGGGGTAGGCACCGGGGAAGTGGT